ACAAAGACGATTTTGTACTTGTCCCCAGGGATTGAAACCGAAATAAAAAATTTCAATTTTGATTATTGATATTAGTTTTTTTTAATTTCGATTTCAGTTTCAAATATTGATTTTTATTTTTTGCAATTTCGTTTTTGATTTTGAATAGAATGAAATTGAATTGAATCATTTTTTTCAATTTTGGTTTCAGAAATCGGTATTTATTTATTTTTCGATTTCGGGTTCACAACAGAATGTTATCCATGACATAATAATTTTTCAAACTTTAGTACATCATTAGCATAATAGTGTTGTAGGCTGTAGCGACTGCAAAAATACAAAATAAAACTATTTTAGGTTATTTGATTGTATATTATTAGTTAAAAGTATAACTCACGGGTGACAGCTAATGGAGTATTATAAATTTATATTTTATCCATAATAGTACACTACAAAATATTTTTATATAGTATATTATACGGAATAAATTGTATGTATAAAAAAAAAACAATCGCTTGTCGAACGCTGATTCCTTATCGTAAATATTCTAAGAAAACAAAATAGGTACTAGTTATTTATTATTATGAATAATCAATATTATTACCAAGTATAGCAATATCTATGAACTGACAATATAAATAGACCTGTTAGCTGTTGAATTTTAAATTAATTTGATTTAAAATCGTTTTAATTATTAAAATGATTTCGATTTTGATTTTCTAAAAGATTTTTAACGATTTTTATCAATATTTGAAATCGATTTCAAGCCCTGCTTATCCCGTCCGTTGTTAGCAGTTCTTAAAACGTTATCGTTGCATTAATTCATCAACGTTCAAACGTATATTTATTTATCTAAATTTCTAGTACCCATTAATATTGATCGATACGAGATAAATCAACAAAACTGGTAAAATACTACAGGTTCACATTGCAGTATTTTGATTTAATATTATGGTTGAATCATCGTTCTTATCATAATATTACTTGAAAATGAAAGAATTCGAATTCTTATCGATTCTTACCACCACTGTGGCGCGTTTCTTCTGGAAATGGTGTAAAACAATATTAATGGAATACAATTATATGATTTTATAAATTAATTCTTATTATCTCCAGATTCTATCTTTTTGAATCTTAATTACGAATTTTAAAGAAAAATTAATAATTTTTTTTTAAGCTAATTATTTGATTTATTTGCCCTGAAACGTCAATGATATAATAACCTAAGTTCATAGACTATGCAACTGTTAATTTACTTTTTAGATTTTTGTAATCAGTGGCTCAATCAAAACGTTTGAAAAATTATCCATAAATAATTAATGCATATCAATAAATATTAAAAATTGTTGTAAATCAATAAATACAAACGTCATCTTTAGATTTAAAATTAAGTCCATATCATCATAAGACATTAAGTTGCAGTTTGAGCAAATTAATTGAATTAATTTTCAAGCTCATGAAATCTGCACCTGATACAAGACATTATTATTGTCACTAGCACTTTTACAGATCGCTTAGCTGAATAAATATACACGATACATTTTTATATACATAAGAATAACAAGAGTTTTCGATTCATCTTATCGTTTGTTTTGATTATTTTGAATATTTTTATTTATTTTGACGGGGTGATGGGCATGTTACGCATTACCGTAGAACTGTTTCCCATGCATTCAGTACCGATCAATCACTGTAAATATCCCTGTTGCTCGTGCACCATGTAGATGGTCTATATCAGTGCTTCTCAACCTGGGAGCCACGGCCCCCAGGGGACCATGGTTATATAACTGGGAGGCCGTGAAATATTTATTTCATTTAAAATTATTGAAACCAAATATAATGAAAAAAAACTCACTACATTTTGGTTAAGACGACATCAAGAGTATCCTGTAATCTCTAAAGCAGCTTTACTTATATTAATACATTTCACATTAAGATATCTTTGTAAAACTGTATTTTCACAACTTAAAATTACATTAAACAAACATAGATCATGAATTTCACAACAATCTTTAAATGCAAACTTGTGTATTTCAGTTTCAAATATCACACCTGACATAAATATGTTATGCGAAAATATGATTTATTATTATTATTATTAACCTAGCCTTTGTTTAAAACTAAATTAACATTATTACTGAATATTCTTGTATTGTTTTATAATTATTACTAATTATTTTTTGTTTATACATGTTTTAAGTTTTATACAATTATAGGATTACATTTCAAAAATATACTAAAAAACTTTTATTTTTTTTAAATTTTAATAATATATTTGTGTGAAATAGTGTATGTAAATTTAGTATACCATTAACAATAAATAATTAATGATTTTGATTGAGGGATGCCTTGCCAGTTCTACATTCAATTTATGGAGCCTTACAATAAAAAAGGTTGAGAAGCACTGATCTACATGGTCAAATGCATTGCAAATGAGTAAAACGAGTGAAGTCGAATTCACACTACACCGTCCTGTGTGCTTTTAAAATCGTACGGTACCAGCACACACATACACCGCAAAAGCATTATATACTTACTACACCTATCAAATATTAGTTTGGTAATACCAAGTCTGGACTTTAACGAGTTAATAAGTTAAAAGTTAAATTAATTTAACTTATTAACTTAATTCATTTCCTTCATGTTAACTTGAAATTAACGTATTATTTTTTCATTTATCCCAAATATGTTAATATTGATTTTCAAGACCAGAAACATATTTTTGTAAAATACTGCATTCGATAACAAGTTCATAGAATTTATAAAAATATAAAAATAAAAGTTTCGAAGAATTTTTAGATGAGATCATAGTATTTATCTCGGTATTAAATCTATCTATCAATAATATTAATAATTAATAAAGGTCCTACCAGTCTTGAGAAAAGTACTCAACCGTTTTCAGACTGTTGAGTAAAAATAGCCATGACATCCATGAATTACACAACCATTGTCAAGTGTCAAAGTGGCCGTAAATGTATACTACAAAAATAAGTACATATGATCATTGATTAAATAATTCTTAATAATAATTGTACTCTGTTATTATTAGAATTATTCCATTATTTATGATATTAATAAATAAGATTGAATAAGAGAAGAAATTTAATAGCTGATCAAAATTTTTAGATGACTCTTCTATTGAGATTCAATAGATATTTTAATTAACCTATCCATTGTATTATTTTATTTGTTCAGATTTTAATAAAATTAAATAATAATATTATATATTTGTTTTAATGTTATGTTACAACTATATACATTTATTGCCTGTATAACTTTATAGTTACACTTTCTACTGCTGTAATTATTTTTAGTTTTCATACCTTTATTGAACATTAAAAAGCATACTTTTTTAAATTATATTTATCATATGTGATTTGTATAAAAAATGAATAAAAACAAATGGTACATAAATTACCATAAATTTAATATTTTAGTGCTTAAAAAAATCCCAATAAAGAAATGTATAGTATATTTTTCTACTCTAATTAAATCTAATAAGATTTTTTTGCATTTTCATTATCGTTAGTGTTAAATAAGATCTGTTGTAAATTATTAATATACACTTATATCAGGGCTTAAATAATTTTTTTATTTTTGTAATTAACTTAACTTATTAATTGAAGTTAGGTTAAGTTAACGATATTTTTTAACTTAATTTTTAACTTGAATTATGTAATTCTTATTAGCATTAAATTAATTGTTAACTTAACTGAACATGAACTCAATTAATTTAAATTAACTGAGTTATAAAACATCATTAACTTGTCCAGCCTTGGGTAATATTATTATATTGTAATTTTATCATAGAATATATTAAAATCAGGTAATCACGTAATAAATAGTTGGACGAACCTAGTTTTACGGTAACACATGATAAATTCTATATTTATACCATAACACGAAATAATTTAATGTAACCATCAGTGCTGTAAGAACCATGTATACAAAGTATTGTACACAGGTCCTAGTCCTCGAAAGGTCCAAAGATTAGCATGAAAACATCAATATTTAATTCATTTGAACGAGACCACTGTTATTGACAAATGTTACCAATACCTCTTTCCCTGCATCCTTTTAAGTTATTGAATTATGTTCTCATTCTTAATCATATTATATATATTATAAAAAAGAAAAATTATATGAAAACAATGTGTACTACTCGTTTTAAAAATATACATCTGTTTATCTACTTTGTTTTGTATAACACGTTTTTAATGATCATATTCGTATATTCTGGTGTATCAGTAGTTTTTACCCAATCACAAATATTATGTCTTATAATACACATGGCCGTAAAAACCAAATATTGCGCTCTTAAGTATTTTAATATATAAAAAAAACTCACACAAAACTGAATATTTTTTATAAACGCAATATAAATAATGATTTTTCTTTATAGCTATGTAAGCGTTTGTTTTGTTTAAATCAATATTTTATTAAAATTAAATATACATTTTAATTATAAGTAGGTACATAGTTATAACATAATAATATTTATAAGTTTTATAAGTAAATATATAAATACATAAATACATACAATTACTTTTAGTTAGAAGTAATTTTATAAGTAACAATAAAAATTGCAAATTTTCCATTTTTGTGCCCTCCCAGGAATCGCGCCCGGGGCGTAGACATCTCAAACCCCCTCCTTTTTACGGCCCTGATAATACAGGCGGAGGATAACCGTGTAAACATTTTACAACACTGCTTTAGTAAAATATGTTAGAGCAAATAATTTATCTTGATATCATCGTATTTGTTTAAACATTGAGCGATTTAAACAAATTTCTACCCCGTCTTAAAATCAACTTTTTCCAGTTGCTAACGGAAAAACGTGTAACGATAAAGGGGCCCGAAGATTTCGATTCGCATGCGGGCCCCGAGTACTCAAGTGACGCCACGTTCGGCCGAGCATTGACGGTTATCGTTTTAGCCGCACGGTTAGATCGTCGTAGCAGGTCTTCCCCGCTGTAACACGTGCACCAACAGCTGACCGCAACGTTGGCCGTTTGTTTCAGATGCACCCGGCGGCCAACAACGCTTCGGCCGCTATACCGTCGATCCCCGCAAGGCGGAATCCAGGGCCACCGGTGATCGGCCCTCGCCCGGCCCAGTACAAATTGCCTCCGCCGCCACGCGCCTCCAGCTGCGAACCGCCGGCCGATCGTCACTCCATCAGGGGCCACGCCAAAGACCATCCGAGGGAAACAGTCGCAGTACCGGCGACGCCGACCAGAGATTCGGCCACCACGGTCCAGCAGCAGCAGCAGCAGCAGCCTCAGCCTCAGCCTCAGCAACCTCAGCAACCTCAGCCTCAGCAACCTCAGCCTCAGCAGCCTCAGCAGCAGCAACAGCAACCGCAACTCCGCACCAGACGGTTCAAAGTGCCGCCACCCATCAAATGCATTTCCGAGCCGCTGGACGGGGGCAGTCGTGAGAGTTACGAGATGATGACGCCCGCCATGACTATGTCACCCAACCGACAGGTAATATTTAACGACGTCAAACTATAGATCACCCGGATCGTCAGTGGCGTAGGAAGACTCGCTAGAGCCCCTGCCAAACTTAGAAAAAAAACGCTTTTTAACCAATTCAAATTTGATGTTATGATATTTTATAACCTTTAATTTCACTAATTTTTTTTTTAAATACCTATACAATTTTTATTTATAAGTAATTATTACAGCGTTAATTATAAACTTTGAAAATTCGCTTTTCTTGCTTTATAACTGGCAAGTTCATCGATAATTTTTTCATGTGACATTTTTTATTTAAATGCCCTTGTACTATTTTCATAATTTCATCATTGAATTCACACATATAGTGTTTAAATAGACAACATCTACTTATTTAAAAAAAAGTATAATGGAAAAATTTCGATTTAATAGTAGGATAAAAATACGACTTTCGCGTTCCTGGCGTAGGCACAGTTCGCCATACACTTGCTACGCCACTGAAGACTATTGCGAGAACGGCTGCGGTCGAGTTGATTCCCGGGTCATTATATATTTTATTCAATATTTAGTTAAATATTCAGCATATAAGCATAATCCAAGAAATACTACAAAGAAGTTGACTGACAAGTTTCCCAAAAATGTTGTTCTTTTTAGTTTTTTCTTATTTTGAAAATCATTCCATTATTATAAAAAATATTTAGTAATTAAGTGAAAAATATAAAAAAATTTAGTAATTTGGGAAAAAATGTGTAGCACAAAGTTTTTATAAATTGGTATCTAGTAATGAGATTGACTCTTTACTAACTTGATTATCTCTTTACTCGTGAAAAGATATTCGTTTCGCGCTAAAACTAAACCTTTAGTTTTCATTCCACACATATTTTTTAGCTTTTTCAGACATTTTTGAGATTTTTACGTATCTCGAGGAACTTTATTGAGTATTTCATAAAAAACACACTAATAAATGTTCGTTATTTCTTTGTAACATCCTGGTTTACAAGCTACTTAATATTCTAAATTCAATCTACCTATAAATTATGTATTTATAAATTAAATAATGTATGTGTGTGTGTGTGTGTGTGTGTGTGACTAACGTAACCCGTAGATTGTATAGGGTTACAATAAATTTTAAGTAATGTGTGCTGAACAAAATATTTAACACAGATCATCTACTCTCGCAGGTCTGAACACGTATATTATGTAAAAATAGAACTTTTTGCGAAATTAAATATTTCCTTTTTTCCAAATTTCATTTGACATGATTTGATGTGCGTGAAGTTTGCCCCCCTAAATCAAGCTAGCGACTTCAAAACTTTACAGGAATTTTGCATTTAATTTGCTATGTAAATTTCATAATTTGCACACCCGTGGTTTTTCCAGGAAAACATTTTTGACTTTGTATACTTAAATCACGCATGTATAATTTCAACAGATGTTGAGAATTTAAAAAAAGCCTCAATGATTTAGTGTAATAAATTTAGAGATATGAAGAACATTTAATATTTAAATATGAGTGTTAATATTTACAAAAATATTTATACTTTAGTTTCATAGAATATTTCCCGTTTTAAGGTGCTAAAAATATTCGGATGTTCAATATAATAATAATTTATTTATGACAATAAATTTTATTTATATCTATATTCATAACATATCAGAATCAGTGCTGCAATAACCGTGAATATTACGTGTATCAAACACATGGGTTCATAGTTCCAGTTTATAATAGGACCCAATGATAATATTTGAAAAAAATGTAAAAGCAAGAAAATAAAACCATTTTGTAATAATAATATTGAATAATTATTCATGGAGATTAAACAATGATGGAGTCCTAGAGCTCCACGAAAGAAGTTTAGGGCCACATCTAAATTAATTGAATTTAAATATTATTATATTTCTTAGTTATCAAGTAAAAACACTTGTATGATTACAATTTTACATATACCTTCTCATCCGATCAGAGTGTTTAAGATTCGTTTGGAGAGTACTAGATTTTTAAGTCTCAGAGCACGCTTTCTGGTCAAAATTATATACACAAATTAAATCAATCTTTTTGCGATTCAAATACATTCCACTTTTACTCAGAAATTGAAAATGTTAAACAGAAAAGTGATTAAACACACTCAATAATTTTATAACACACTGTATATATAATATATTAATTTTAAATTCATTTTGAAAGACTAAAAAATGTTTTTATTAAGATTTAATGTAAAACGTGTTTTAAAAAAAACAAACTCATAATTTTAAAATAATTTCTATTATGCCCCTCCCCCATTTTCAAAAAGTTTTAATATTAAAATTAACTTAAGTATCATTTTTGATATCTTCTTTCTATATTTTTTCCATTAAATCTGAAGAAAACTTAATTTTGTGAAAAAATCCAATATTACTTTTCAACTATAGTAATACTTTATGATAGAATTCCTTGTTATTTTTTAACTTCGTTTTAGAATCTTTAAAATTTATCCTATATTCAAGCAATAAATTTAATTATAGATTATTTATTACTGTTTTTCATATTACATTTTTTTTTTTTTTAATCATAAATCATTAACAAACATATCTCAAAAAATATAGTTTTTTAAATATTTCTTAGGTATATTTATTTAAAATTAACTTAAAATAATTATTAAAAAAAAAAAACAATTTTAGATTTTCACATATATAATTAAATGTGGATTTATAATAAATTTTTTCAGCATTTGAAATTTTTTGAATTAAATCATTATGTATTTCCCAACATCTATCTGATCGTTTTACATATGCGATATAATGGATTCATATCCAAATATTCCTCGGAGAATATACCTACAATGAACAAATTAAACATTTAATGTAATTATGTGAATAAGCTGAACATTGATGTTTTAATAATTTAATTTATTTTATAAGTTCTTAATAGGTAGCTATAATTTGTAAAACAATAATATATTTATAAATATTATAAGAATTAATATGCAATATTAAACTTAATTATCAGAATGATCACATAAATTTATTTAATGAAAATCGATGTCCATCAGCTACCATATCAGTTTCAATAAATAAATTATTTTCAATTACTCTTGTAGATATTATTATTCCATTGCATTTATCTTCAACACGTGTATAGTGTAATTCTTATAAATATTGATTCAGAGCATTTTGAAAATTGGAAAAATAATGCTTCATTTTCAATATACTTGTTGGACTGCAAATATTCTTTCTATTATTCTTGCATTCTGTTTTGGGGCATTTCATAATTTCGATGGCAAAAGGTGCAGTTTTTAATAAATGAATTATAATAAATGAAAACATTGCACCTTGAATTAATTAATTTTACATTTGTAACACTTTGTTCTTAATGAAAATTTTGTTGAAGTAGTAAAACTCTCGTATTTAAACGATTATCTTAATTTCCACAAAAACCATAGTTATACAAATTCTAAAAACTACATAGCAAATTAATTGCAAAATGTCTGTGAAGGTTTGGAGTCGCTAGCTTGATTTAGGGGGGCCAACTTCACGCTCATCATGATTTCGCATGTTACTTGTACAGTCCAGTGAAAATATTTCACTTTCATCGTATTAGTTATTATTGTGCTGACCATTAAATATTGATTGTTTAAGAGGTAAAGTGAAACCATCCGGGATAGAAAATATAATATTATAGTGGTAGGTAGTAAAAACCATTTCGTCAAAAACCATAACAGACCAAAAGTGTTCAGAGTTAATTAATTTCAGAGAATAAGCTGATTAGCTTTTAAATAATAATTTTCATATTAATATTCTAATGTTTTAATTTAAATTATCTGGATTTTCTCTGTTAAGGTAGCAGTTGGAAATCACAAAAAAAAAAAAATTACGAAGTTTTAAATATATGTATATAACAGACATATATATATACGTTTAATACACGTAATCCATAATAATAGTCAAGTAATTGACAAAGGTGGCAATGGGGTTTAAAAGAAAAAATTATCGGAGAAAAAATTTGATATAAGTCTGCAATGGCAATGATAAATGACTCGTAGTCATTTTATACTTTTAAAGAGTTGAGAAGATTAAATCATTTTCTTCTGAGAACTTTTATTTTACACGGCACTGTCTGTAACACAATTATATTATACAAATACATCACGAAGTCAACAACTGAAGAGCGGCATACTACTACGATGTATATCATCTATTTCCACTATTAAAAACTTATACAACTATGCAGGATAGTGAACTTGCTCTATCCGTACTTATTTTGATTATTATATGGTGAACATTAGTGTATTGGGTCCAAGATCAGATGCGATCTAACATGGACCTCATCAAATTTCTTACCAACTCTTGGTCCAAACACTTTTACGCACTTGTTATAATCTTATCGTGATGCGAGATAAATATGTGTTTTATAGGTGAAAGATAAATAAGCGTATTCACCCTATTTTATATTTTATAATAACGTACTTTTTCTTTTGATTTCCTAGATTCTAATATTATAAATAAATCAAAACTCGCACGTAACATACCTACTTGTAAGTAGAGAATACGAATGTTTATTTTGATAAAAATATGAATCCAAGTACACTTCATGTATTATAGCAGTAAACGGCATGGAACAGAAAGACCGTCATCAAAAGCTCCACAGTAGGCAACATCAAATTTTCATTCATTCATCTAATATTCATCATAATATGATCTAAAATGCTTAGTAAAATAAAAAACAAAATACTACATCAATATTACGTGTTTTATCTACGGGTTACTAGGGTCACCGGTGGCCTACTATACAATTTGCGCTAACTTGAGCTTTCTACTCTAAAATGTACGTAGTACAATTTTTACCATGAAAGTTCGTTTGATTCTCAGTAGTGTACCGTCATTTATGACCACTAAAGGTCTTGTCATCCGAGTCTATGTTCACTGTATTACTGTTAAAAACGAACTGATTGTATTACTTGTTTCTTTCTTGTTTTTTTAACAACTAACTTTCTGACATATTAATAAAAAAAATAAAAAAAAATAATTAACTTTCCCCAATTACTTTTTTATTATATACACTAATACCATATGATATTCTTATCCAATATTATTTTTTGTTTGTATTATATATCATTATGTTTAATTTAATTTACCTTTTACTTATTATATTTATATATTAACTGTACAAATTTAATATTTTAACTATCGAAATATCATAGCTATTATTTAAAGAGTTCTAAATAAAAGAGAGTGACAACTAACTTCGTCCTTTTTATATTTTAGTAGTTTTTTGTGATTAACATTTTCTCTTCTGTTTATTTGGTTATAATTTAAAAACAGTAGACTCATCCTGATTAATAAAAAATATCATCTTTTTACAATCTTTACATTTTTTTCTTCCTTATCAACATTTATAATTCGTGCTCGTTTCTCATTATTTTTCTTATTTTTTCTAATTGTTTTATTTTCTATCTTTTGGTAGACAATTGGCTTCTGTAGTCATTTTCTCTATAATTTTTCGATGGTACATATTTTTGGGTGTTTTTTGACAAGGTTGGAACCCATAATATAAATATCGATTGGAAATAAGTAAAGCAACATGTATACTTTCAATAGCGATGTAGTGAGTTTGTGAACATATACATCGGAGATAGTATCTTCAATAGGTCCAATACGTTGGTTCATCTGAACATATTATGAAAAATGTATCCAAAGATCTGTTGTATAAGCCCAAGAAAATTTCGACCAATTCAAAATCACCATGCACTCATAAAATAAATGAACGGCCATTTGGTTTCTTTATGTGTTTCAGCATAGATCTTTGTAAACGATTGAAAAGTGTTTTTTTTCTGAATGTCTATTTGTATTTTTTCTAAGACAAATTAATATTTAAACTTGCTCGTGGCCATGAACAGAAAAAAACTTCAGTGCATTCTGTATTGGGAACTGTTCAAACACAACGTGGGTAGATGTGAAAGTCCAAAAACACCGATTTGGGCATTGATACGTAGAATGGTGTTCATAATTACTTGAATATTAAGCCGTGAAAATTAATAAATGAATACATCGAGATCATCGCATTGTATAAATATTATTTTTGCGTTATATTTCGACATTTTCTGGGAGCATTATTATAATACTTCGACATCTCTGTAACTTTTTTTTTTCGTTACATTTCTGTTAATTTTTCAAGCGCTTTTAGAATATTGTACTCCGAACACGAATCTGAAACTTTTTCACATCTTCATCATCGTAACTATCTCAACAGAGTACCTCTGTTCAAAACGTATTTTCTCGTTCAACTCAAGCGCTTTATAGGATTTAATATGGTTTTTCAATGTTTATCGCATATGTTACGAAAATTATCACCCGAAATTACCATTGATTCTGCGGACATTTGCAGGACAGCGGCCATTGGAGCGACTCATTCAGCGTCAACTCGTCACCCGGCTACTCTACCAAGAGCATGGAGACGCCATTGCTGTCGCACGCGAAAATGATGCCCAGCCGGTCGAACAAGAAACGTTTCATACTGGACCGGTACGTGGTCTGCGACCAGTGGAACGGCCGCGCGCGGTTTTCGCCGGCCAACAGCGGCCCAATCAGCTCCAGCAGCACGGCCGAGCTAACCAAAAGCCACTCGACTCCCGCCAGTCTGCAGGCCATCGTCGAGTTCAATGAAAACTCTCCGAACTCGCTGCAGCACCGGGTGAGTATTAGCAAACCGAGACCGTTTCCGAACATTTTTCTGTCTTAGGGGGTAGCTAGAAATGGTTTTTATAAGACCGGCAAAACTGATAACGTGCACCATTACAAACGCGTACGGTTTACCTAGATAATCGTTCGTTTCCGTCGAGGTAGTGTATACTTTGTGTACGAAAACCAATATTGGATTCAACGAATGGTTGAAGTACTGTAAATGGTAAACCGGTGACTGTTGATAATTCATTCGCTATACAAGTATATATATATATATATAAATGTAATGTTTTTTTTTATACATTTATTTAATTAAATACGTTATAAAAAGTAATTGAAAACCTTAATAAACCTAAATCTTACGACATAGTATTGCAATCGCTTGTAAAACTAATTATTAATAATAGTAAATTTAATAGTGATTATTACATCGATGATGATCAATTTGTTGAAATCAATACATATCATGACTTGAGATGATATTCGAACTTAACTTATCATATTCCTTTCGTGTTTATATTATATGCTCAAAAGCATTTACAAGCTTTGTTTTCTTGATTCGCAATACGAAATAATTTAATTATGAGTCCATTATTAAAACATTATGTGCTTCACGAGTTAGACTGATCCAAGAATCCGGTTCTGTTCTTTGGAACCCTTTATAAATTAGTCATATTGAATCACCTGAACGTGCCCAAAGAAGGTTTGTACGTTTTATTGCGTAAACGAGAATGTACATGCCCATTTAAATCCATCATCTTCTATTTACATATTTTTACTAATGGAATTTTTTCATTTTCTACGAACACGAAGGGACTTTAAATCACCCATTATTATTATGTGTATTATTTTAAACGGAATGTATATTTTCAAAAATAATATGTTTTTAATATCAGGTACATTAGAGTATTTGGAAAATTAATATATGAGATTTAAAATTTCAGCTAAACAGTCTAATTTTTTAATTTAATATTTAAATTTATTTCTACAAAATCATTATAACCCACTCATACAGAATCTCTATATCAATATCATACCAGGTAATCCTAGGCGTCGTCTAAAAATTACTTGGTGCCGTGCCTAGTTCCAAAACTTAAAAAAAAACCTATTTGTTAGTTATTTTTGAGTTAATTCTCTAATGTTAAAATACAATTATAAAATTATAATTAGCGATTAAAATAATATCAATAAAACATCCAACGTCAAGTGACTGATGATCCGTGGCATGGTGTAATCAAATATACGAGTACAAATTTTTAATTTACTATTAACCTGTTTATGGACATAATTACACAAACATTATATGGCTCACTGTATTTTTGTCCGTCTCGATTCGGTCCTACACGTTGACGGGATTTAACCCAATATGACCGCTCGGTGGTCAATGACAACAACTTTCTTCAGTTCATATACAAGTCACATCGCTACTTGACGTGTCAAAGCTAGTTGATTCACCGCGAGATCAAACGAGGTAGTCTTTACTATTGATCTATAATCGATGTTATCTCTAAAGGTTTCTGCCAACTCGTTGCTCGTTTACGCTTGCTGCACTTTGTTGTTTTCAGAAACTTTTTTGACAACGCTATCAACGTCAGTGGTTATGCCCGGTTATTCGTTATTTTCAGTCGATTTGATATCACATAAGTCGTTTAATTTATCGCACCAACTATTGTCTTCGTTTTCGTTCTCCGCAAAATCGTTAATTTCCCAAGTTATTTTAGAACGTTCGTTTTCATAATTAAACGACGCCCCAGGGCAACGCTTGAATTCTCCAGCTAGTTCAGATTCCAACTTTTTAATTGTATTTAACATTTCAATATTTTTCCTCTCCGATGATTTATTTTCTTCGATCAACGTGTCAAATGCATTTTGAAAATAACCATACTTTAGTTAAACATCATTCGGTGTATTGTCAAAAAAAAAAAAAAAACGTTTACGTTTTGTATTACCATTTACATTTCTTTGGAGTATTGAATAGCTATCAGGTGAATCATTTTTTTGGGTTGTACCTTTTAATATTTTATATCAACCCTGTGTTGAAAACATTCACACTTCAATTTTAAAGAAGTCCAATTCCATGTCCTACAGTTTATTCTATAAAAATAATATAACATGTAGTATTGAAGTTCGTTAAATATAAATTTTTGCTTCTCTTAAACCTCTCAATATGATTAATTAATTAATAAACTATAACATTCAGTCGTAATCGTTCGAACGTTGTCTATTAAAATGTCAATTAAAATTATTCGAGTGAAATATTTCTGAAACGTTAAAACCATGTATCATTGCTGTATTATGAATGTGGGTTTCATCGAAAAATACTGGAATACCTAGAAAAACTATAAACTCGGAATGAGGTTACGAAATCGCTAAAAAAAAAAATAAATAAAAAATTATATCTTTGTTAGTATTTTTTTGTTTGCACGCCGACTAGAGAATGTTTAAAAATGAAATACACAAATAACATCGTCCCGTTGTTAAGAAACATTCTCTCGGTTTAGTTGGAAGAGTTTAATTGTTTTTTCTTTTTTTATACATACGTCTCTGTTCGAGTAAACTTTATGTTAAGTGTTAAAAAAAAAAAAAAAACAATATAAATATAAAATATATGGTGAACTAGATTATTCATAATATTCTCAATACGATACATTTCCCTATTAACAAAAGTTTTATCGAAAAAAATTTATCGGTGCATTAAATCCGCAGTGGACCGCTTTTTCGGGACGGTAAATCAATAATTTTTAATGTAAACCTTCAAAATATAATACTAATACGTAAAGTAAATTCAACACAAATTTAATTAAATGTTACTCGGCAAACATTAAAATATGTAAGCGTTCGTGTCATGGTGAATTTATAACTTAATAAAAACAGTAGCTTATATGATGCCTTTAATCAAGCTGCGCCAATGGTCCGCGACCAATCATCTGCGGATTACTATTTGAATCCATAATTGCACATACGTCACGAGTCACATCAGTAGCGGTTTTTGAGAAGCCACAGGGGGGGGGATGACGAAAATATTTTGCATATACTTACAATTTGCATACATATCCCATTCATTTTTTTCCTATTGCTTGATACATGAGAAGTAATTTTAAATTCTTTAGACTTCATACCACAATGGCATAACATAAAAATATAGGTATCAATAAAAAAAATCAAATCAAAAATTATTTTTTATTTAATCTTAATTAACAATCAAACTTATAGGAGCAAACATGTTTGTTAACAATAAACAGTTTTGATGTGAAATTATCGCCAAAACGATTTTTAGTAAACTGTTTTCTTATTCATACATTTAGTTTTTACGTGGCTCGAGGGAGGAGGGCGGTCCGTCTATCATGTCCCTCGTAAAACCGCCACTGAGTCAAATATTTTATGAAACTGAGATATTAGTAAAAATATAGATTAGTTATATGTTTCTATGCGTTTAATGTTAGATTTGTAAATTTGTAATTAGTATATGATATGTATAGTATGATATGTTTTCCAAAATTATTTATATAATATGGTATTTTTCAACTACCCAAAAGTTTTTCAAAAATTGGTTCATCATGTTTCTGCAGTCAAAAATTCACTTACTGTCCCAGTCTTAACTTTGTCTATAAAAAAATAGAAAAAAAAACTCAAAAGAATTGCGCTCTAAAAACTAAACACAGTTGCGCCCGAATTACCTTTGTTTACGCGGCAAGTTATTACTCAATATATTTCGTATTTTAAATGTGTGTTATAATTTTCGTGTATTGTATAGCTGTGCGATGCGTATCCACAACTATTGTCGACTGCGGTGATAAGTCTCCGTGTGCGACCGACCGGGTGCGTAATTGCGTTGTTATCAATTTGCGCGAATATGTGTTCGTTATTTCATGTTTTCGAGTTTTCGGTTATGTTTCGTTTAATTTTCAAGTCATGTTCTCAGTGCTACAAAGTTTCGTTAAATTCTCGTGTTTCAGTTTTAGCGCGGTTTTGTATTACTCACATCCTGGATGTAGTCATGTAGGATAAAATCCGCCATCGAACACAGTTACATGTGAGTATTGGGGACCATATTGATTCTCACTGTGTAAAGGCCGACGGTCGTTGCTGTCTTGGGCAAACCAAATCATTTTACTGTGGTATTATTTATTATTTTTTATATGTAACACTGCGGTGTGCCGTCGAAGGCTAATTATTTCATTTTATTTATTTATATTATTTGCATGTGCTAAATAATTAATACCTTTTGTTTTATTGCTATTATTATACATACCCTGTATATTTAATGGACCAATCACCCTGGGAAAACTAATATTTAATTCAATTAGATACTGATATGATCTGAATCTTTTTTAGTTCAACGGTAATGATATTGAGTGAAATGATACAGTAAAGAGTAATAAAGAAAATTTATTTCGAATAAAAAGTACACTAATGGCACCATATTATCTTATTCAGTTTATCGCCTATAAAACTATTTTAAAAACCGATCACGGTATTTTTATTGAAATAAAAAAATATCGTAAAACTGATTTTGAATAAATAAAATTTAACAACACCATCATATGCTACAATATTATATAGACCGTTTTGTGCACATCGCTGCAAGCGTCACGGTTTTATTAAACCCTGAGTGTGGGTTATTATAATATGATACACAGTAGCTCGTAATGTATTATTCATTTACTAACAGACTTTTGATAAATTTAATCACATAAATCGTTAAAAAATATATTACCAGATATTATACACATAATATGCATTAATAGATGAATGTATTTTCGAATACGCTGTGGAAATATTTTATTATTTTATTTTTTTTTAATCGAAGATATTTTGAGTATATTCGAATACAGCCTGAAGCTCAAAAATGTAATTTCGTACATCCATAGTCTACAATAATATTAAAGAGTTCCTAAACTCCTGCACTAGTGTTCTTAAAATATTTTTAATGTTAAAACTTAGAAACCGTTTACAATAAGTTATATCTTATGAATACATATAGAAAATTTTTTTTTAATCGTTTACATT